AGATTATGATCTGAATGGTGATGGATTGGGAAAGGGGGAGGTGCAGCGAGACCTGGGTGTCCTTATACACCAGTCGCTGAAAGCAAGCATGCAGGTGCAGCAGGAGGTGAAGAAGGTAAATGGGATGTTGGCCTCCATTGCGAGAGGAATTGAGTACAGGAGCAGGGATGTCTTGCTGCAATTATACAGGGCCTCAGTGAGACCACACCTGGTGTATTGTGTACAGTTTTGATCTCCTCATGTGAGGAAGGATGTTCTGGAGATGGAGGAAGTGCAGCAAAGGTTTCCCAGACTGATTCCTGGGATGGCAGGACTGACGTATGGAGAGAGAATGGATTGGGTTAGGATTATATTCACTGGAGTTTAGAACAGTGAGGGGGGGATCTCATAGAAAGCTGTAAAATTCCATCAGAACGAGGGTAGATGTAGGAAGGATGTTCCCATTGACTGGGGAGTCCAGACCCAAGGGCTAGTCACAGTAGAGGGGTTTGGGGTAGGCCATGTATTACTGAGAAAAGGAGATATGTCTATACCCGGAAAACGGGGAGCCTGTGGACTGCTCTGCTGCAGTTGAGCTCAAAACATTGAATGTTTGTACGGAGGAATTATATATCATTCTTCGGGCTGAAGGGATCGAAGGGTGTGGGGGAGAAAGCAGGAACAGGGGGCAGAGTTGGATGACCAGCCATGATCATATTGAATAACGGAGTAGGTTCAAACATCTGAATGGCCTCCTCCTGCTCCTAGTCTCTGTTTCAGATGGTGACGCTATCGATGATTCAGATTCACCCACCTCTTCTGGAACCTGTGGAGAGAGAGAGTCAGAGAGAGGGAGACTGGTTTAGAAGAGGGGCAACAACAGATTGGGGGGGGAATGGGAGGTCTCCCAGGCAGACATCACACGGAGTGGGCACTGGGGGCTGACAGCCTCACCCCAAGCCCAACCATTGGCACGTTGACAGGCCGGGACTGGAGCCTGGGAGTTTCCTGCCGGGGTCTAGCC